ATCTTCTATTTTATTTCCTTTTCAGCTCTAGGTGCACAAAATAGCTTTTTTCCTCTTTGTCCCCAAGAAGAGACACAGGTGTCTGTTCCCTGATGCACGTCTCCCTGAATGAGGTTTGACATTCCTTCTCTTCCATGCATATGATCTAATTATTCCCACACGCTGCTGAAAGACATTGCAGTTTACATGTTATGAGCTGTGTCTTGCTGTGAGCACACCAGACATCTGCTCTAGCTGACTTGTGACAGCCAACGCCCGTCTGCGACATAGGGCAGCACTTATGGACAACTGACATGGCACTGAAAGTACAATTGATATCACCTTTAAACCTTTAAAGTCAACTTCCAGCATTAAAAACACAGATGCAATTTCCCCTAATATTTATGAGCAGGCTGTGTATATATTTCAAAACACAATTTAGCCCTTAATAAATATTCAGGTTTTAGAATGACTGTTCAGAATACATAACATGCAGCATGTCACATAAACATATTAGGAATACTATAAGAGAAAATAGCACATTTTTCCTTATTTTCCTTTAAAATATGAAAGCCCTGCAAACACACATATTCAAAGCTTCATTTCAAGTTAGTCATCAAAATGTTTCACTCTCCAGTTCTTTATATGCTGTGAACCTCCAGTGTCTATGCAGTTGTTTCTAAGGTAACAGATCAAGATGCCTTGTGAAAAAAATGAATCAGATCTTGAATATTCAAGACATCTCCAGCTGCAGAAATGAGAAAAGGGCAGTATCACCTCAACTGAGGGTTCTCAATGGTTTTTAGACCCTGGCCTGATTTACAGACAGGAAAAATGTAATCCACCCTAAGGCTACAGTGTGAGAGTACAGTGGTATATTCAGTTTCAGGCATGTAGACTGTCAGAAATTTTTAATCAGAGCTATAATTAAGGAATTACAGAAGCTGTTCTCAACAGACTCTCATTGCCTCATTGCAGGGTACACACACAGAGAATACAAATACAGATGAAGAATGTGTTTGGTAGGATTGTGCCTTCATTCCAACCACTGACAGTCACATATTCACAGATTCAGACATGTGATGCACAATCTAAAAAATACATTAAAAATGAACATGAATAGGCACGTGAAAATAAATGTTTATACTCCTTGCTCAAGGGACCAAATATGCATCATTTCCATCAAAGAAAACAAATGGATATCTTTCACGGATGATTACGTGAGTCAATGATTTTCAGGGAGTGGGATTATAAGGTTTTGTTAAGAGTTTTTTGTGCCTTGTTTGTTTTTTTTTTAAACTGGCTAGAACTACCTTTTTCTTTTTCTTTCAAAGTCTGTTTTGCTTATTATTTGAGTCCAGAAATCATATAAACATAAGAATGCAGACAAGACATATAGAGGCAATATTAACCAAAATACTATGTAAAGCTTTTAGAAAATTTCTGATATTACAAAAAATTAAATTCCTTGCTTAACAATACATGATATATATGTTGATAAATGCATTCTGGAATATGCAAAAAGACACCCACCATCCATGAAAAAATAATTATAAGGTATTTTTCAAATGCCCATCATAATGAGAACTGAAAAATCAATTTAATAGAAAAGGATATATCAGACTTGATAAAAACCTTCAGAGCTGTATTGTTTTACATGTTGTGTGAGGGAAAACAGACATGGCAGCCCGGTAATTTGGGGATCAGATAAAAGTCGTGGTGGTCAGGTCATGACTACTCATACCTGTCTTCCTGTTTCTGAATCATGTGTATTACAAATTATTGCACATTATAAATGCTTGGAACAAAAATGTTCTAATATATCTTGTTTGGGAACATTCTTCAGGGACTACTCTGCGTGAAGAAAATATTAAGATTTTTTGAGACTTGTAGCATTTAACAAACTGAAAGTCAGATCCATTGATTAGGGTCTTACGTTCTTGGAAAGATGTGAAGAGCATCTGGAATCGGCTGCTTCGACTGCCTTCATCAGCCCACATGCGGATTACACCGAGACCTGTCCGCAGCATTACATCATTAGCAACAGTGCTGCAAAACTTGGCTTTCAAATCCTCCACGGCGCTGCTTCCATCATATACAGCTACAAAATTCCTCTTGCATTCATTGGAATTCTGCATCTCATAGTCCAAGAATCGCAAATAGATCTATGAAACAAACAAACAACAAAGACAACACGTACAGACATTTGAGAATGACTAAACAAACAATAAACACATTTGCTCTACCTTGTAGGAGAAAAACTACACAACACCACCATCAAAATAATTTTTCTGGAGCTGGTGATCCATAGACCACTTGCCTGGAAGGGGATTAATGCAGACACTAACACTATTTATACTTCCTGGAATTTTATCGTCTTCAAAGTAGAATCAAGCAAAGATCTAGATATTTTTGTTCTTCTTTGAAGTAAGGTCCTAATTTCCAAATATATACCTGTCTTTGAGAGGTATGTACTACAGTCCTTCAAGCTGACAAACAGACAAGCTAGAAATTTCTTCTTTTGCTGGCTGGCGCAATACTGCTCTATTACTTGCCTGACGTGGAAAATAATAAGGCAAATAATTGCTGCTCCCACCCCAGAGTCAATATGTGTCATCTTTGTGATATGTCTCAGCTACACTGATTCAGGAAGTGAGAATTTGGGAACCAGGCAGAACTCTATCATTAATCTTTTTGTTTCCTCAAACAATTTGACCACCATCTCAGCTTTTCTAAACGAAGCTTTTCATAATTTAACAGGGCTGAAATCAGATGTATTTTGTGGAAACTACTAGAAACATAGAAAGTATTTTAGGAAATGTCTCTTGCATATGAGCTAAGTTCTCTGATAAAATTATGACACGATTTAACCCCAGCCACACAGCCGCTCACTCACTTCCCTCCTCCCACACTGGAGGCAAAGAATCTGAGGAAGAGAAAAAGAATCTCATGGGTTGAGATAAGAACAATTTAATAACTGAAAAAAAAAAAAATTACAGCAATAACAATAATACTAACAATAACAACAATAATGCTAACAATACCAATAATAGTTATATTATTACTAATAAATAATATGCAATGTAAATAATACTACAACTACTAATAATATGTAAGGAAAATATTGGAAAATGAAATAAATTATACTACTGCTCATCACCTGCCAACAGATGCCCAGCCAGTCATTGACTAGCGAGAGCCAGAGCCTGAAAGCTAGGCCCAGAGTGCGAATGTGAGAGCATGTTAATGAGAGAGAGCATGCCAATGAGAGAGAATGACCCCTGTCCCACACCCCAACATATATACTGAGCATAATATTTTATGCTCCCAGTTTCTTGTAGAGAAAAAAGTTGGGAACACAGGTGCAATATCAGAAACTGAAAAAGTCCTTGGCTTGATATAAACATTCCTTTGTAAGAATTAAAAGTGTTAGTATGTTACTAATATTCTTCACAGCATAAATCCAAAATATAGCCTCATACTAGCTACTGTATTAACTCCATCACAATTAAAACCAGCACAGTGTAATAGTTCTCCTGCCCTTTGCAAAGAAATCTTTAAATCTACTCAAAAAGAAGTAAGGGTGAGGAGAAAATTATATTACTTGATATTCAACTATGGGCTTTAATAGGCAAATCCACTCATTTTAAAAGCAATTGGCAATATAAGCAACATCAAATATTCCAGTAATAAAGAAGCTAAGTAATATTTTCACGTGACACCTGATACATAATTAAAATGCCTAGCATACCCAGGAGACTTCAGGAGAATGATACAGAAAGGTGAAGTAGGGCAGAAATAGCATAAAAAGCCAATAAACATATCCAGCATCCACCTATATGCATCTTCACTTGAAAAAATAACCAAAAAGAATCTTAGATATATTAGATATAAGACATATTTCTTTGCAAACAATTTTATTAACATCAGGCAGTTTTTACACGCACAGAACAATTGCTTAAAAAGCTTCTCTGGATTTGCATAAGGTACGCAAACATAGCATATCCTAGTAGCAACAGGACTCACCACTTCCCTTCATTAATATATTAAAGCTCTTATGGTTTGAGAATTACGTGCCTATAAGTAGTCTACTACTGTTTAATAATAACTCAGATTTTTAAATGAGCCATTTCAGATAGTGTATTATGATACATTTTCATACCTTGTTATGGTTTCCAACTCATCTCTCTGAAAAGAATATTTGTAAAACAATCTTTAATAGCATATGAAATTCAGCATACTAGGTTTAATTTTGCTTGCCTAAACCTTTTTTGTATCTTATTTCTTACAATAATCCTTACTTATGTTCCAACATTCCCATCTTCCAGAAGGACTTAGAGGAATATATTTCAATTAAATTGCAGTTAAGTAAATTCTACTTTTACCATGTATGCTGGGTTTTAAATACCATAAATTGAGGAAGCTGCTTGTATTGATCTCTATGAAATATAACAGTTACCAGCAATATATCAAGTAATATTCAGATGGCAACATCTTGTATCAAGGAATAATTTTTATAGTGTTTTTCATTTCTTTTATAGGTTGCTCCACTCTTGCAGTGGAATGAGAAATTTCTAGAGTTTGGTCACTCGGCATTGTTGAAATTTTCTCACAATATCCACCACTTTTTATAAATGTGTTGTTTTGAAATATCTTGCCATTTCCTCTCATACTGGGGGACATGCAGTCTGCATTCCTGTTAAAACAGGTCACCTACTGCCTTGTTGAAGTCATACTTAAAAATTTGTTTCGGATTCTGTAGATTTGCTTAGTGAAGAAAATGTATTTCTGAAGTTCATCTGTACTGGCTGCAGCCCTTTGCAAGGCTCTCTTTCTCTCTTTGCTCTCCTCCTCCTTTTCCCAGGTGCTCAGGCATCTGACCCTTTAATACTTTGCATTTTCCAAATCCTTGGTTTTGGTGTTCTCCAGCTATTTAGAGTATTTCTGTCTTGCTGATGCCCGCCTTTGTTAGCCCCTCAGTTGTCCCTAGTCTTTGGTGTGGCTCCTGCTCTTTTCTCTTTATATACCATCAGCTACTTTCATGGCCACCAGGCAGCTGGCTGACCTTTGCTACCAACTACTTCCTAGAAACTGTTACACCTCTGATAGGAAATTTATGAAAATGTGCAGAATTAACTGGAACCAAGTAAAAATGAGCAGCCAGTGAGAAAGCTGCAGACATGAATTTTGGACCAGTTAGTGACTTGAACGCAGCCATGCAGAACTGGGGTGGGCAATGTGAGATGAGGTCTTACTCCTCACTCCTATGGTTTGATAAGATGCTCTCGTATTAGCAGCTCCTGGGATCCAGCTGTCACAGGCAAGGCATTGCCTTGCCAGCAAAGATGATGTGCAAGAGAGGGTTGTTCGGGAAGAGGCAGAGCTATGATACTCACACCCAGCAACTGGCCATAGTTGGGACACACTGGAGAGCTGCTTCTGTGTCCTTGAGACCAGTCATGACACACACTGTTCTGGCACCCAGCCTCTCCTGTGAAGCTACTGAGATAGTCCATAGTCCTTCTCTGCATAATGTTTCACTTGGAATGGGGAGTTAAACGTACACCTTATGCTTGCTCATTTCTTTATTTCTAACCTTCTGTCTTATATATATACATGCATATCTACATATGTCTGTGTGTATACGTATATATAAGCACACATATCTCTTGTACAGGGTGTCGCATTTCAGTACTGAGATGTATTTCTATCAGTTTTCGTTCTTACAAGAAATGTGTGCTAATCCTCACTGTGGTTATAAAATACCAGGTCTCACAGCAATTTCCAGCATTCATCAATTATTCCTGATCCATTCAAACAGATTGCTCATATAACAGTACAGCCAAAGTCTTATTTCCATGGGTTTATCATTTGACATTCTCTAGTTTCACATTAGTCTTGTAAAACAGTAAAATATTTCTTAAAGTAGCATTTATAAATGTTGAGAAGAAATCAAGAGAACAATAACTTAGCATTTCACTTTGAGTCTTTCAGTGCAGAAGCCAACAATTTCAGTTCTTCCCAAGCCTGAATTTTGCTGTCAGTCATACCGGTTCATTTCTCTGTGTGATAAATTCAGTAATGATCATAACATATATAAACTAGATAGGAACTGGAACAAAATATTTGGCTTTAAAATCTATGTCCATCCTTCAGAAGAAAGATGGCACCTTCTCCAATGACATGAAGTTTCATAAATTAGAGAAAATAAATTCCTGATATTCTGAGGTGTTTTGGAGTTTCATTGTCGTAGTCCTCTTTGGAGATGTCTATTCCCAGAACTCTATATAAAGTAATGAGGACTTGATCCAAAGCTCACTGAAATCAGTGTTCATATTTCTATATACTTAAGCTTATTTGCATCAGACCTATGGATTAAGATTGCAGTGCATTTTTAAAAACTGGAAACTGATTACACAAACTGAAAACCTGATATTGGATCAGATTTTATTTTAAAGAGGTGGAATAATGTAATTGCATCTGCATCACTCTGCCAATTTTTATGGGTTTATTACTATATATTTGCCATTGTTCCTGTCACAGGCTGAAAGACCCACACTGGCAGAAGAAAATTACTAATAAATTGAGTTCCCCAGGGAAAGAATAAAACTGATTATATGACAAACTGTTATCTAATGCAAATTGTTCCTGATACATGGTTTTCTGAAATCAGTAGCAATATTCTCATTACTTTCACTGGTACGTGGATCTCACTAAAAGAAATTAAGCAGAAAGGAAAAGAAAAATTATAAATATTTCTGGTTATTTCATTTACTGAGATCTTAGCCATTACTTTGAACAGCAGTGGATAAGAAACTTTTCTCCCCCAAAAGAAAACAAATTAACAAAAAAGAGGTCACAAACTCAAATGCCACCATGTGCTTTCATTAAGCCTTTTTTCATTGATGCCAATAGGAGCTTTTAGAATTATAACATTTCTGTAGGTAGTGACACATTGTATTAGCATAATCGGGACATACTTGTTGAAGAGAACATCTTATTTGCCCTATTTTCTTCTTTAACATTTTTGTTGTAAAGTTTTAATAAGACACTTTCCTCAAATCATCAGTTCCACATTACTCAGATGAACAGGCCCTAGTGCACAAGTATTAGCTTTTACTGAGCTTCAAGATGTCACTGCAAATGCCAATGCCATTAGCAACAT